CACGGGGGTGCTTAACTTTTTTCCAGGTGTATATTTTAGAAGTTTCATGGAAACAATAAAAATTGAGATCTGTTTTTATAATTGTATATTGACTGAAAGTTTTCTGTACTGCTTGTATAGAATTCAAATACTAAATACCTTACTCTCTGCAGTTTACTATAGTGTATATTTCATCTTTAAAATATTTTATGAATTCAGTTTGTAATTTAGGTGGTTTGTAATGCTAGTTTTTGTGAAATGATTATCTTTCTTTTCTTATTTGTGAATATTGTTCAAGTTCATGTCTTATTGTTATCTATTTGTTGGATATATACTTTTATATGTATATGAATGAAAGAACTTGTGCCATTGTGCTTACTACATATTCTAGGAATTGAATTGAATGAATTCAACATTTGTTACATCTTAACACACAAGTACATACATTTAAGCATAGATTGTTTGTGCTAAGAAAGTGTCCATGTACCTTATGTATCCTCATTAGTTTTTTTGTTTTTTACCTTGACAGACTGATTCTTTGTGAACTGTCTTTGTAAAACTTTTTCCCACAATATTTAGTATCAACATGTTTAATATCAACTGTGCAGTGTTTTCTGTGGCTGGGTGTATTGAAAGTTTTTGACAAACAAGAAGTGCCGTACAAAATTCTGAATGCTTCTGTGTGTGTGTGTGTGTATGTATTAAAATTATATAAAAGCTCTGAAAGTATCCCATTTTCTGTTTGTTCCAAGACATTTTTATGGTCAACCAGTGAACAAGCAAGCTTGGGTTTACGAGTACCCTTTGTAGTGGATGTCTGCATGTCCACTTTTGAACAGCTAGATGAATTACTAACCCAAGTGTGTGAAGGGCTTGATGGGAATAGTGACTGGCCACCACCTCAGGAAAAAGAATGCATTGCTGTAGCTGCCCTTAATTTATTAACATTGCAGGTAATTATTTAACCAGGGCTATATACTCATTTCTGTTATGTTTTTTATCTATGTATATGTTTCCTAATAACCCAAATTATTACATAAATAATTGCATTCAGGTTATGTAGAAAATATTATTCGTTAGGGACATCTATAAATTATTGGAAATGCAAGATTTTTTGAAATTACTTGTAGATATGTTTGACTTTGGCTTGTTTTATACATACATATATATATTTCTAACTTTATTATTACTTCATCATTACAAAACTTGATTTTTGTAAAATTTAGATAAACATCTCAAAATCTTTGGATGTTTTTAAGAATTATAAATGCTTGTTGAGTCAAGTGATGTTTCATGTTATTTGTACTCCATGATGGCACAATTCTTTAATACTTCCAGTCAGATATTGTCTACTATATGTGATTTTTCACTTTGTATAAGACATGATTTTTCTCCACTGTATTACACATGACATGTAGCTGTATGCTGCTATCTCAGAGGGATTAGATGTTGAGAGCCTTGGGCTGTTTCCAGGAAGCAAACTGTTAGCCAGTGTGAAACAGAGGGTTGTTGACTTGGCTAGTAATGCAGGAGTTATTCCATCTGTTCAGCATGAAGCACAACGGGTGCTGCAGACAGGCTGGTGTGTTTTATTACCAACTGCTGATGAAAGAGCTCGAGCTTTATCAGCCTTGCTTCCAACAACAGGCAAGTTTAAACAAGCTTGCAATATCATTGCTGTCTTTGGTTTTGTTAAAGTGCTTCTTTCCTTTTGTTTGATCACTAGGAAAGAAATATATGTATATATAAGGTTTTCAACCATTTATTGCACACTTTAATGTACAGATAACAAATCTGTCTTTGTTGTTTAATACATATACAGATGTTTCAGTTCTGTAGTTGAATGCTCTTACTTTCAGGTAACAGTCTAAATATTATATGGAATTATTTTTCTTGGTTCCTCAATTGAATAGTGCTACTTCTAGGTAACATATCCATTTATAGCTTACCAAAATATATTTCACAAAATATTTTAGTGCAATATAGACCTATTTAACCCTTTTACTATGGGTGAATGAATTCCACCCAGCCCATATCCCACAACGGAACCATAAAGCAATTATTCTCTTACTTTTTAAAAAGATTTGTGTATTTTTTACAAAATTTAGCAGATTATAAGTAAACATTATGAGGCTCTTGTACACAAAATATTAGATTTTTTGATTAAGTTTTAAGATTTTTTAATTAATAATTTGCTTGTGCATATTTTCTTTTTGAATATTGACTATCCAATATGCAATGTAATTTTTATTTGAAGATTAAAAATACTTTTATGCATCCGAAAATTGTCAGATTTCACATGCAAAATCTTTATAACCTCCAGATAATTATCAAAGTTTTTTTTAGAAAAAACTTTATATTTTATCTGTTATTTTCATTGTTGTATCTCTATGGGTTTGGTCAATTTGACCGACCTCGTAATCACCATAAAAAATTAGGAAATATAAATTACATATTTCTCCTACCAGAATGACTACAAATTATAACACAAAACTTAGTCTAAATAGCTTAAATCTCAAAACATTATACATCTGTGTGTGTGTGTATATATATATATATTTTTTTTTCCCCCCCTCACAAACATTTCTCTAAGTTTGAGAAATTCATGTAGGGGACATTCTGAACTTTCAGTTGGTTATAAACAAGTCATAGAGCAAACTAGGTGTATATAAGGAACTAATTCCAAAAATGGAAAAGGTGGGCGAAGCCATCTTGGATAATTCACTAAATATGATATTTCAGAAAGTAGAAAAGATAGGATATTCTTATTTTATGTTATAGTTTGTCAATATTGGTAATTTGAGTTTCTAATTTGTAAGAATCTATAGACTTTGCATTTGCACATCACAAACTTGTAATTTGAACCAAAGCTGAATTCAACATACCATATGACATATGAAAATCGATATTTAGGAATTTTGTTTCAATATTTACTTTTAAATTAATAAATTAACTAATGTATAATACTAACATTTGAATTATAATATACAATTTGATACCAAAGTTATTGACATACATTCATAAAATAGTAGTTAAATAAAATTTTGAATCTAAGTCTACAAACATGATGACATGCCCTCTGACCCCTACCTGTAGTAAAATGGTTAAGTAAGAAATTCAAATGAACATTTTTTCACAGTATTTTTGTAACATGTTATTAGAGGGCTAAACATAACAGTTGTCTTGTGCTATTTACAAAGAGGTTAATTTAAAGACTGCATAGTTTTATTTTTGCCCATAGTCACATTTTATGTGGCTGATGGACATATTTATAACTAATATAAAGAGCAGGTTCTTCTCTATGTGAAGCTTGCAACCATACTTTTGAGTTTAGTGAGAGTGTATACACTCAATAGAAATGGATTTTCATGTGATTGTAGTTTTGCTCTCTGGAATGGAAAACAGAATCTGGATAAATTATAGTAATTTTAGGATATTCTATTCTAGTGTCTGATATAGTTTTTATGTTTTAAAATGCATATCTGAATGCTAGATGAATTTTTATTTTGACATCCAAATTTGTGAGACTCAATGAGACTTAGAGAAGAACTCCAAGTATTTTTACTTAAGTTCAAACAACTCAAATATTTAGTGAGTGCTAGTTTATGTATTATTATTTTTTATACATATTTCATTGTTTTATATTTTTTACAACAGTAACAAAAATGTAAGAGTTATAAACTTCTCCACTTAGCCTAATGAAACTTCTGTAAAATGTGTAAAGTTACACTAGCTTTAGCACCAGTGCAAAACAGAATCCTAAACCACATTAACTTTGCAAGAAAAGACTAATGGGTTTCCACTGTGATTTACTGGTTTTTACACAAGGATTGCTGTTCAAGTGGTACAAGTGGGGCTTTTTGATCAGTATTTCAATAATGCAAGAAAAATGTTGTTATTCATTTTACTTCATACAAGCTGAGGTACCTGTCCTTTGTCTGGGTTATGAACTTAAAAATATGTGGGGTGGATGCTATGATAGATAACACAAAGATCCTAACTTTCACACAACTTATTTATAACATATTATTACAGTGTTCATTATTACTTCACCCACGGTTTTATATAAGCTTTAAGAACTCTTATATGTGTATAGTTAAAACACGGTATACACTGTGCAATGGTCAGGGTGACTTTACAGGAAGAGATAGCAGCCAAAGTAGTGGTATGCTTTCTGTTACCTGCTTTCAACACTCAGCTATTAATGTCTTTCCACAGTGTTTCATGTGATTAATTAATTGTTGTTCATTGACCACAGAAGTGTGTTATGGGTCAAAGTTGTTAAAAGGTCACAGGTCAAAGTAGGAAGTGTGGTATAACTCAAGACACAGCTCTTCATATCTGTCTTATGGTGGCTGTTAGATTGGAAACTTCAGCTGAGTTTATGTAGTATTCCAATAGTGGCAGCCATTTTTTTCATTGCATTCCTCCACAGAGAGTGCTAGTTCACTCTCTTGAGATATATAAGATGTTTGTGTGCCCTCCCTTCTACACTGTATGTGGTTTTATAGAAAATTTAATAAAGTTTTTTTTGTATAAGGACATGGCACTATCAATGAATGTAGTTAACGTTAACAACCGTCAAAGATAACAAATGCTCAATAACAACAATAATGGGGGCATTGGGGGGGGGGGAGGTTGTGAACCTGCCATTAACAACATGCCCCTTGTTTCAAACTATCAACCCACAAAGTTTGTGACTCAGTAACCTAGGAGTAGTTAAATAATGGACAAATAGACAGACACAGATTTTTATGCTTTATGTGTGCATATATTTTTATATATTTTAAACTTTTCACTGTACATTGATGATTTATCTACAGTTACTATTAGAGCAGAGAAAATAAAAGATAAAGTATTAAATTGTACTGAAAAACTTGATGATATAAAGGTTATGCAAATGAAACATGAAAATGGTCAGATGAAAATAAATATTTTTATTCTTAGCATGAAAATCACCTTTCCCTTGGACTGACTCAATAAAGGCTTCATAAGTTCACAGACAAATCTTTAGAAGATATGCTTTATTTAAAAAAAACTTTTTTGTGTACAATATACTTGTAATAATGATTACTAAGATTTGCCAAATTTTGTGAACATACATTCAGTAAATTCAGAGTTATAGTATGTATAGTTTCACAGTTCCAAGGCTGATCAAATCCACCAACTTTGTTCTTATAGAGTTAAAGTAGTGTTTTCAGTGCATATGGTTATGCATATTAAAAGGGATAATCTATAACCTTCTGGAAATATTTTGCAGTCGGCTCATTGCTAAAATATGGCTAATAGTTGGGTTGAATGCTATGCATTAACTAAAATTAGACTGATAACTGAGTTAAATACTTGTGTTTGCTGAAACCTCTGACCATCATCAAAATATCTTTATTTATGTGTTCAAATAATATAAATAACACATAGCTTTATACTAAACTACAGACATTATAAAAACTCCTAGCTACTCGTGTAATATGCAATGTTTTTATACTGAGCTTAAGTAAGGTAATTTAGATTTATTTCATACATTTTGTATGGTGGTTACAAGGTTGGTGAAATGGACTGAGTCCAAATAGTGTTAGGTAGAGAAAAAACAGATAAAATATAAAATTTTATGAAAAAAAAACTGATATTCATTTAGTATGTTCTAGAGGTTATAAAAATGAAATTTTAAAACTAAGATTAAAACATTTTTTTAATCTTAACATGAAAATTGTCTTGCACTTAGACTAGTCTGAGTCAGACTCTGACTCCATAAATTCACAAACAAATCTTTAATAAAAAATACTTAATTAAAAAAGAAATTTTTTTTGTCTACAAAAGATTTGTTTATTAAAAGCTTGCCAAATTTTGCGAAGATACACTTACTTCATTAAAGTTATTGTATGTATACTTTAATGGTTAACTGTTCGTTGGAAAATTGGTCAAAATGAATACACTCTAGAAGTACTGTTATATTTAAATGAGTAACTATAAAGGAACTTTCAAGTTTGACAGGTGATTTGAGGATCTTTAATATATGGTATCATCTGATGGTTCTTTAATATTTCAATTCAGCCCAGTCTTCTCCCAGAAATGATATTAGGCTTTTATGTTAGTACTTATATTTATTTGTAATTATCTGTTTTATAATTTATCTCCATGTTCTCATGTTTTAATTCTTATTAGCTATAGATACTACTTGACCTTTGTACTCCTTTTAATTTTGTGTGTATATGGCTTTAACATTACTTTCATGTTGATAGTATCTAGAGAGTGCATAATCTATATTTCTTTAGGGTAGCCTATCACATGTTCTCCCAGTAGATGAAACATTTTTTCATGTCTAGTTTTTCTACTACTCACAAGAAAGATAGTATGGCTTATTATTTTAAATCTTTACTAGTAGCAGGTGTAATCTGCCTATAAAGGGGGGGGGGGCAGTTGTTCTTTGGTTGGATAATGGAATTTCTGCCAGTTAGAAACAAAAGGAGTGACAGTCAGTGCAATTTTAGTGTCCTTATAGTTAATTTGATAAGACCTACTGCCTTTCAATTTCAGCTTTTTATACTCTTCTTAAGAATTCCATATATGTGTGACTGTTGGACACGTGCAATTCTTTCCTTTCTGTTCACTGGTGAAAATATATGATTGATAATCCAAAATCTTTTTTTTCCCAGATGCCCGGTAGTTTCATAGGCAATTCTCAGTGATATAAGGTACATTAAGAATCTATATTAATATTTGGCCAGGTAAATGATTTTTCATGTTTATTTTTTATTCTTTATGTCCTTTTTTCTAATATGTTCTTTCAGGTATTCGTCCCTTCTTCTTCTTTCAAAAGTGAAAAATACTGATTATTTCTTAAAAATGGTTAACCTAGACATAGAAATACCAGTATTGAATTGATAGTGTATGGTAGTTCTTTCAGTGGATATTGTCTCATTTCAACACATGGTGACTTTGGTCTGATTTCATGGCATGAATCATGATCATGATAGAAGTACGAAAGATATAAGTACAGACTAGAAATCAGTACAGGTGGAAAATCTGAAACAGGTTACCTGCTTCCTGTTTGTTGAAAAACATTTTCATTAAATTGATCATAGATATTAATATTTTAAGTTTATGATATATAGTTGAATACTGTATATAGTGCACAGTTTTTTCTCCGCAGATCTATAGAATTGTGTAGCCTCTTTTAGTACTAAAAATGACTTTCAACCTTGTTTTTAATATACCATCCAGAGGACCATGCTTGCAACTGCATTGTTGTTGTATTTTCTACATTTTCTTTAGATATTCAAATTAATAATTGTCCTAAGTAGTAAAAGAGACCTATGTTGGGTTTGGTTCTTCAAAATCTGATGGGTACCCAGGTTTTCAAGTACCCATTCTAACCAATAGTGTAGATGTCCATTTGTGTACCAGTCTGTATAGTTGTTGTTAATGTTTTAACATGTCAGATATATCCTACACACACAATGAGATTTTGAAGTCATGCTGTATGTGAGTATTAAATATATTTTCTTTTCAAAGTTTTTGATTTTGTTTAATAACTGAATATTAATATCCACTATACTTCAGGAGATGGAGCTTGTTCTAATCCAGGAAGAACATTCATGACAGATTTATTGGTTGGCAGCTTGATGGCAGATGGAGGATTAGAATCTTCATTGTTTACAGCTGTTAAGGTAGAAATTCAAGAAATTGAGGATCTCAGGGTAATTATTTTTCAGATGGTTCATTAAATTGTTCATCTGTATTACAACAAAATCAACCAGAAATAACCTTAGATAGTTATTAAGTTAAATGAACACAAAATATTTTAAGAAAATAATTTGTAGTAAGTTTCATTTTTTGTTGTTTTATACATTCAAAAGCAGTAATATTCTTGTTTGTCAATCTCGTATATTTCAATGGCAAGTAGAAAAAGTTAGAAAAACAATAAGAAATACAATGCTAGTAATGACATCTATCTGGAAAATTAAACTAACCAGAACTTGTATAAAGGAAGAGGTAGTGTGGATAAGTGAAGTTTTACTATGGTAAAAAGTTTGTTTGTTAGAACTTTGTTTTGAAATATGTAGGGTAATATAAGAATAAATTTTGGTGCATTACCCTGCTATAATTTGAGAGAAATTTGTTTGTCTTCTAACTCCTAGGATTTTGCATTTGGACCTGTCAAATATGGTTTAATCAACAAGGAATGATTCGGGATGTGTCAAGAAGAAGAAATATTTTTTAAATGCATACATTTCTTAGCTTCAGTGCTGGCTTAAATATAGATCATTCAGTCAGTGAGGGTGGTCACTAAGGGTGCTGATGGGATTTCTACAGTTTCCCCTTTCATTACATGGGGTATACATACAGTCTATGCACTTTCAATCATTACTTGCATATTACAGAAACACTATTTATATTCACAACTGATAAAACATTCTACAATTGCATTTCATTTTTAAATCCCATCGATGGTTTGATGGATTACTTTTTCACTCATTATTTTTACCTACTTTCAAGGTAGACAATTATATTAAGTGAAATGTTTTTATGTCACATGTTACTTGTTGCTTTTTGATAAAACAAAAAAAACTAAAACAGAATGTAAATTATTATTTAAGTAATCAAGCCCAGTGGATATGAATAATTTCATTCTTGTGTACTTTTAATCTTTGTATTGGCACTGACATATTTAATAAAGCTCTTGTACATCTGCTAGTTTACCTGATAGCAAAATCTACTAGTAGCATACTAGGAATTATCATTATATTAAGTGAAATGTCACATGTTACTTATTGCTTTTTCATAAAAAATCTAAAGTAGAAAGTAAAATGTTATTTAAGTAATCAAGCCCACTGGATATGAATAATTTTGTTCTTAGGTACTTTTAATTTTTTATTGCCACTGACATGTTTTATATTAAAATCAACTTTCATAAAGCTATCACCTTGCATTGCACTGATACATCTGCTAGTTTACCTGATAACAAAACCTACTAGTAGCATACTAGGAATTATCATTATAAAAATAAAAAATACATCTTATATTTTACTAAGAAATTTAAATTGAGTAAATGTCAGTAATGAAATAAACCAGAGGAACTGTGATGTTCCTTAAAATTGTTTAATCAGTCATTTGATTTTTACTGTAGAATATTTGTTAAGTAATTATATCTCATTAAGATGTACAATGCTTGTTTTAATAAATAATCTTGAATAAATGTTTTGATTGTCATTTTCAGTACAAGAAAACCTCACTGTAACAGCATTTTGTAAATTACAAAAAATTGTTTGCTATAAAAATACAAGAAACAGATGTTAAAGCTTTTATTATAACATTATTTTTATATTTTCTACTCAGAAAAGAAACATAAAAAGACGTTATGTTGGTGAAATTAATTTTTAAGAAAACCACCCAATTTTTGTCATTTCATATAACCCTTTAACTTATTTTGTAGGAGAAAGAAATTGACAAAGACAAAGACTCTGATAAAGATGCACACATGACAAGCAGTGCTGAGCAACTTATGACAAATCAGGCTCTCTTAGAATCTGCAACCAAGCGAACTCAAGAAGCATCATCATGTGAGGATTCTGCATCTAGTATTCCACTGCTTCATATGGTGAAACAGTTAGTTAGGTGAGCTTTAGTTTGAATATAAGGATGTGAGCAAAATCAAAGGTAGGTAATTTGCTAGATAGTAGGATCTATTTCAACTCAACTGAAAAAACTTTAAGTCTGGATGTAATGAAGAATATAGGTGAAGGTTATTTTAAAAAAAAGATGTAAACTAAAAAAAAGATTGTGAAATGTATGTGATATGTGTAACTTAAAAGCAAAATATATGTCAAATCAAATAAAAAAAATTTTTCCAAGATGCTACTACACTTCTTCACACAGTTAAGACATATTTCCAGTTGTGTTTGCCTTAAAGATTTGCATGCCACTAGCCTTTAGGCAATCCCACCTAATATCACAAGAATTCCTGTGAATTGTGCTAGTGCATAATTATGCTATTATGCAGCAAAAGCCCTCCACTAACAGGAGGGTGACATACCTTCTTGCACACTAACTCCCTCTATGCATTTGCACTTGTGAATCTTTTTTCTTTTTCCTCAGCATTCAATGTATTATACGTGATTTGTTTTTTCCAATTTACTGAGGCTTGAGTAACTTAAGGAATTTGATTTCCATTTTTTTCTTCTTCAAACTATGAACTCACAAGTTCATGTAACATCAAATTCTTGTGTGACTGAAAAACTTCCTCACACAAATCAAGCTTGAACTATGGCTACTGGAGGCATATTGAATGTAGACTGTGACAGCCATTATGCATAGAGTAGTGGGTTCCATTATTCAGGCAAGACCTTCAGCACTTGTCCATTATTCAGGCATTCCTTGTCCTCATTTTGAGGGGAGAATGAGGAGGATGACAGATTTGATACTTCTCCTGTTTCCCTTTTTCCTGATATTAGCATTCACACTGATTCGTTTCTAGACCAACTATGTTCCTGTGACCTTATGCCTCGTTCTTCTAGTTTTTCTGATCCTTTTATCCTGGCTTACAATCATTTTGACTTCCCCTTTCTCAATTTTCAAAATTTAGGATCTCTCTTGCCTGTTTTGGGGCAGACACTTGGGGGTTGTTTCCACTCTCCAGTGTTGCATTTCCCTATCTTCATTTGATCCTTCTTTTCATGCTTTACCTCTCCTCTCTGCACCTTGTATTAGAGACATATTCTCGTACCTCAAATGATTTTGCTTTTGATTTTCATTCCCTTATCTTTTCCACCATGCACCATTCCACTTTTTCCACTATTTCCATGCTCATTTGGCTTATTTTTTGTTGGGACTTGAGTAGAAATTCCCTCTTTTCCTGGGTTTGATTTCAATCTTTCTTCCTATGAGATCTCCACTTCACCCCATTTCTTTGCTTTTAAGTAGTTTGGGGTATTCCTTATTCTATTAAATCATGGGTGGAGATTGCCTGTCATCAATCCTCACTTTCTTCCATTGTTTTCATACTGTCCCAAACCATACCCTTCACCTCTGTATCTTGATCTCCGACTATTTCCCAAATATATAATAGCATCAAAAATCATCTCGAGTGCTTTCCGTCTTTCATCTTCTTTGTTGCTAACATACTCTATCATTGCATCTTGTGTTTCAATATTAATTTTGTAGTCATGCATTCTCTATGACTCTGAATTCTGTCATGCTTTTGAAATCATTCCATCCTATTACCCATGGAGATGTGGAAACTGAGGAATGCTGTGATGGAAGTAAGTGATTACTTTGCGTGGTCCACGTACATACACAGCAAATTATATCATTTGTATCACACCTGTATTCAACCCATTGGAAGAGGGTTTCCAACTTTCCTGGAAAGTTTGGCATATTGATTTTTTGCTGCTAATGTTTTTGTTACTACTGTATTAAATGAATTAAATAATAAACCTAGAAGTTTTTTAAAAGAAATATCAATAGTCTTGGGTGATAAATAATGCTAAGTTTGCACACTAAGGGTTAGTGATCAGACTAATCTTAAGCGAATCAGGAGAAGTTTTTATACAGATATCTAAGTTACTCAGGAAAAAAAAATATATAATTTTCTCATAAACTAGACTATCCAGACACACTGTTTAAAATTACCTACATTAGTGTGTAGGCAATTTTTTCACCCTCCACTTACAAATAAATTTTTGGAGTTAACTCCTGCTGCCCCTACCTAGGTTTAAAAAAAGTTTGGCAGCTATGATGCTTGTATTGTGGTTGCAATTTTTTCTCTCTCATAATTTTACATTTAATGATATATATATATGTTAGATATCAATCAATTTCAGTCTATGGTGGACCATCACTCATGGACTTCATGAGTAAAGCAGAAGGAGATTTCTGCTCATCTCTGCTGACCCTTTAATTGCATAAATTGGGGTTGGTTTGCTTTTCAAAAATAGGGAATTGCAGGCACCCATTGCACAGTCTCTGGTGTGATATTCCTCTGGACTTCTCATACACCCCCCTTTTTTTTTCTTCTTGTGGAGCATGGGAGTCCTTACCACTCCCAGTTCCAAGTTGCTGAACCATAGAGGATTCCTCCTGAGTGAGTTTTGACATTTACTTTACAATACTCATATTTATCCACTCAGTGAGAAGAGGGAGAAGCTGGTTAAACTGCTTCTAGACAAAGTATCTTCATCAATTGATCATACGTTTCCTCCAGATGTTTTTGCCTCGGTAGACTGTACTAGGCACACTAACTAAATCCATTGATGATACATTTCCCCTAGATGTTTTTTGTCCAGGTGGATTGCACTAGACAATATAACTTCATCAATTCATAATAATAAACATGGCACCATCACTACTTGCATTTCCCCAGGATGTTCTTGCCCAGGTGGACTGCACTAGCTACTATACCTTCTTCACATGTTAATATGAAAAATGCCTACTTGAGTTTCCCTTGGATGATTTTTGCCCAGGTGGACCTCACTAGACAAAATAACTTCATCCTATTTTACTTGCATTTTTCCTGGATGTTTTTGCCCTGGTGGACAGCACTAGAAGAAATACCTTAATCAATTGATAACAACAAACACTACTTATGTTTTCCCTGGATGTTTTTTGCCCAGGTGGACTGCACTTGACAAAATAACTGAATCAGTTGATATCATTATGAATAGATCACACAGTCCTTATGCCCTAGCCACTTTTTGTCATTACATTTTTTCTCTTCCCCAACCTACTAATGCCAAGGACAAGCTGTGGATTATCGTCTGTCAGGTTGAGATTGGGTAGGTACCTAGCTCATTCTGTTTTATCTTGCTACAGCTTGCACCTATCCAACATCCACATCTGAGGTTCACTGCGAGTATTTCAGCTAGGTTTTTAACACAGGTACAATATTAGGCACAATCCTGTGACAAACAAAACATACATATTCTTCAGAACATACAACATTACCATCACTTGTCCAGTGCTGTATGAATTATTACTGCATTCAATTGTGCCAGTATGTTCTTCAGAACATACAACAATACCATCACTTGTCCAGTGCTGTATGAATTATTACTGCATTCAATTGTGCCAGTATTTTCGATTCTGCCCATGTTATATTACTTTCCTATTTTCTTGATGAAGAGCATACCTGTTTCAGAAGTAATGCTGTATCCAACAGCCATGCATTCATTTTCATCTCGGAGCACATCTGTTCATCCTGGCCAGTCGATTTATGCTTGGTTTGATTTTTGTGCCCCTCCACCTTTATAATGTGAGATTCTAGCTTTGTGTGGGAGGAGGTAAAACTATATGGGAAGTTAACATTTTCTTACACTGAAAATGTATTTCCAATACTTACTTACATCTGCTCACACACTTCCCACCCTTCCTCCCCACTGCCGGTGTTTTTATTTTAATACCCACCAATTCTCGAAAGTGAGTGGAAATAACAGAGGGAGCTAGCTGTGCCAGTATAGATGGCACAATATTATTAGTGGAGAGTAGTTCTGAAATGGCACGAAACTGATGGGGTATAAAGTCTGGTGCACTGATTGCAAAACTTTTTTAACAATGCTTAGAGGGCAAACAAGGATTGAGATAGCTTTGTATGAGATGAAATACATTTTCAGTGTAACAAAATGTTAACTTTCCTGGAGAGACGGTTTCTCACCTATTAAGTTCCTGCCATCAGATGTCTTACTCCATAGGTTTTCTTTAGGTGCTTTATGAGAGGAACTCATCTAGGTAAATCTTTTCATCAACCTGTCCATAAATTCAACACAGTATTTTAGATTAATTGTGTGAAGAGGTGTACATCTTCCTGGAAATTAACATTTTCATTACCTGAAAATGCATTTGCAGTAGATACCTCTTCACACACATTCCCACCCATCCTCCCCACTTCTGGTGCTCATTTCTTACTTGCCTCATTAAAGAACGTAGATTCAGGAGTCAAAATGCAGGGAGAGAGTTAATGTGCATGGAAGTGTGTTGTCCTCCTATTGGTAGAGGGCTTTTGCTGTACAAGAACATAATCGCGTGAGATTAAGCAGGAGTAGCCTAAAGACTAGTGGCATGTTCAAATCTCTAAGGCAGATGCATGGTGAAGATAGCTAACAGTGTGAAGAAGTGAGATCTATTTGATATATATATATTTTAAGATGAGGAAAATGTTAACTTAAAGTAAGATTTAACTAGATTATAGAATGTGGGTGAAAGTGGTGAAACTTCAAAGTTAAAAGTAAATAGATAATAAGATGTGTGTGAAAACAGATGAAAATAAAATTGAGATGTTTTAAATTAAAGTAAGATATAAGTGAAGTTCAAAATAAATTAATCAGATGAGATATAACTGATAAATATGATGTAGAATATTTTAGAATAGTAAAGAAATAGGTTGCATTTAGGAAGTAGGATCTGATAAATTGAATTGAAATATAAGGATAGAAATAGTGTTAATATCAAATTATCTGTGTGAGTTACTTGCAATATTGAGTGATATGAAGCCTTTTATACAAAAACAGTAGCATGTTATATTTATATAGGGTTTTGTTCTCACTTTAAATTTGGTTCTTTTAATTTTCTTCAGAAAATGTCATACAGTATCAAGGATATGAGCTTTTGTTAATTACCATTGTGAA